CGCAGGCAGAGAACAGAGGTGCCTAAAATGGTGGTGGTTAAGGAACAACAGGTGGCACAGAAAGAACAGAAGGCTGCAAAAACAAAGCTGCTGCAGGCTCTGTATGTACCTGTTCTCTTCCTACTGTTGAGGCTGACAGGCAGCTCCAGTTTATCCTTTCCCTTTAGTATTTCTACTCCAGTTATGAGTAACAGCAAAACCTGTTTCCTGACTGCAGCTGTGCATGAGTCAGCTGTACTTGGCCACAGAAATGCTGCAGAGGAAAGGAAGAAATGTTGTGCTCATTATTTTGGCCATGAGCTGCTCACTGTATTGGTTTACAAGTACTCTCCATGCTTTGTTAACCTGCAAAGAGCAGCCATGTGAAGGGAGTGCCTCTGCTCCAACACCCTCTGCAGCTGCACGCTGCCACACCAGAACCTGTGCACTGAGGGAATTCTAACTGTTTAATCCCTAGCAGGAGGATCTAAATCACACTGTGCATTCATGAGCTACTGTGTTTGTTTAATAATGCTAATATTGATGGTAATTGTGTCTACTACAGGAAAAATTAATCCACTTAGCTTGCAGGCAAATTGGATATATATAAATACTTGGAGTAACATTGTCATGGAGCCAAACTGTTAAACTATTTTTATTTCTTTAAATGTTTCTCTTTTGCTTCTAAGACTGATTTACCAGGTGATTTTCCCTTTGGAATAAGGGTTGTATAAAATAAGTCATATATTTGGATTTTATAATTTTTTTTTAGAAATATAATTATTGAAGGATGAATATTTAGCACTAACTATTAGAACTATATTGAGTAGCAACTGCCAAATCAGATTAAATACTTGCTGATGTACATATTTAATAATCAGCTGAAAATATTTCTACTATAAAAGTGGCAGAAGCATCCACAAAAGTATCATATAAAATATCACATTCTATGCAAGTATCATTAATAAAGACACAGTAGTAGTGTAAAGGAAATTCAGACTCAGTTTTTGGGATGGACAGGAAGACACAGATACTGGATCTGCCTTCAAAATCCTGACTTGTTTGTGTAAGTATTAGAAGCTCTGTGGCATTGAGGCAAGAGGAGCAGTATCAGCTGATTGTGCCACACAGTTTAAATTGACACCCTCAGGGATCCATCACAAAGCTGAGAGCCCGTGTTTATTTGGGAGCAACCCCAGCCCGAGGCCATTGCACACAGCCCTGGCAGGACAGCCAGGATCCTGAGCACTGCCCTGGCAGCACTGCAGCTAATTCAGTTCTGCTGCTCCTTTTCCCAGCACTTCTGTTAGCAAAACATTTACAACCTTTAATCTTTAAGTGATTTTTGATGAAATCATTTAAAGCGGAAGTTGTTTGTTCTCATCTATGGCTTATGATGCAAACACTGAGCAGCTATGGACTCTCAAAAGCACCCCAGATGCTTAATGAAACAGTGCTGAGCAGTGAATGCCCCGAGAGGAGCAGGGAGGGAAGGGAAAAGGGCAGTTCCTACATGTATCTCAAACTGAACTGTGACTGCAGTGATAAATGTACCATTGCCGTTTGTGGCCCTGTCAGACCAGGTCAGTGATGGGAATGAGACTGAGCAGGAGAGCTGGGATGTGGGACTTCCACGTGGGGGAGAGGAGCTGGATGGAGCTGATACAAATCTGAGGGCTAGGAGGGCCAGAAAAAGGCAAGGAAGGCAGCAGAGTTCAGGATGAAAAAGCAATGAAAATGTCCCACAGAATTTCAAAAGCATCTGGCTGCTGGATGGGAAGTAGGAGGATCACAGGTAACTCTGAAGTGGGAAGGGGCAGCAGGAAAAGTAAATCAAACAGTGAGTTATGGTGAGGAACTTGACTAGGAACAGAACCCTTTTCTGTCCTCTGCCATCTGTGTGTCTCTTTGAGTGCAGTAAGTGCAGAACTGCCATCTCAATTTGCTCTCCCAAGCAGAGACTAGAAGCCCAGATGAATTAAGGCTGTGAATTAGGACTGTGGCTATTACCAGGTGAGGAGCCCTGCCCAACAAGGCAGCTGCACTTGGTGGTAACCAGGAGTACTACAGAGAGAAAAGTTTAGGCAAGCTGCAATCCTTGAAGTACTAGAGAATTACATTTAGTCTTACTACAAGGATAAAGGGAGACAGCTTTTGGAGGATGACTTTGCTAGATCTACTTTTTTCTTGTCTTGTTAATTTGTTTTGCTATTTTCACTATAGTTCTCATATTAACTCCAATACTGATGCCATTTTAGAAACAAATGTCAAGCAGCAAGAACAAATATGAGATGCTTTCTGAACAGTTTGCTGAGAGCTGCACTCTTTTGTTTAAAGAAAGTGTCCATTTGGAATCCAACAATCCACAGAAGGGGTAAGGGGTAAAAAGCCCAGTGATTCTCATTTAGCCTTTACACCACAGAAAAGTGACAGGGATAGTTCCAGAGCCTTCAAAAGGCACTGTGAATCCTGAATCCACGGGCTGCATGCTGTCAGGGCAGGCTGTGGAACATCCCAGCCAGGCCAGTCACCAGCACTGGTGTCTCTGCGGAGCATCCACAGAATCACCTCTGACACAGCAGCCAGCTCTGCCTGGGGTCCTAGTCTTACCTGAGCCCTGGTTGGAACTTTCCTATCATCAAAGTGCTGGGAAAATCCTGCAGACACATCCTGCAGTTCTCTGTTTGAAGGAACTTCCTCTGGTGCACAGGGCTCAAACAGCAAAACTATTCTCAAAGCTTGATAGCAGAGCTCCCTTTATGCTTAAACCACTGACCCTTCCTTCCTTCTTTTTCAACAGGACTTACAAGTTCCAGTGTTGTGATCCAAAGCACTGCTTGAATTAGATACATTCCCTTATATGAGCAAAAGGGATTTAGGCATGTTTATTGGCAAATATCTTTTTAATTGTAGGTCTGCTTTGGCAATGGAAAACAAGGATCCTGCTCCATTTAAACATAAAGCTTAGGGAAAAATAGAACAAACAAATGCAACCCTGGGATTTTCTTGTACATTTTTAGCCAATCAGGAGAGAAATTAGAGTATTTCCACTAAAATATTATGAAAACTGTCACAGCAGGTCAGGCCATTTCTTGCTATTTACTTATACAGAAGACAGAGCAAAAACCCAAAACTTTGAAATCCACTCACTGAGATTAAATAACAATGAATGCAAGATAATACCATATGAAGAACAGCAGCAATCAGCTTATGTAATGAGTGACTCAAATACACAAATTTACTATTTGTCTGAGTAGATTCTGATGTAACAAATACAAAACGTCAGGATCTTTTATTTCTTCCATATTCAAGAACTTGGGAGTTACAGAGTGGTGAGCTCAGACCCTAAGGTGAGCTGGTGCTTGCTGTGCCTTCTGCAGTATTCATGCCCTGGGTTCCAAAGAAGGGCAAAGGAGCTGGGGAAGGTTCTGGAGCAGCTCAGGGAGCTGGGGGAGGCTCAGCCTGGGGAAAAGGAGGCTCAGGGGGATTTTCTGGCTCTGCACAACTCTTGACAGGAGGGTACAGCCAGGGGGGATAGGGCTCTGCTCCCAGGGGACAAGGGACAGGATGAGGAATGGCTTCAAGTTGCACCAAGGGGAGGTTTGTGTTAGGTATTAAGGAAAATTTCTCCACTGAAAAGGTAGTCCAGCACTGAAAGAGGCTGTCCAGGGAAGTGGTGGAATCACCATCCTTGGAAGAGTTCAAAAACCTAAGGATGTGGCACTTTGGGACATGGTGGTGCTGGGTAAATGGATGGACCCAATGACCTTAAGGATCTCTTCCAACCTAAACAACTCTGTGATCTGTTCCCAGATTCCCACAGAGCAGGAAATGAGGAGCCAGCTGTGCTTCTCATCACATACAACTGCTACCTCTGATAAGCCACAAGAAGAGGAAGAGCCACAAGAGTTTGCCTATTACTCAGACAGATACAAATCTTCCTTTTGCCAGACTTCATCTGGCATAATTAAAGAAGAAACAGAACTTCTTACTGAAGGAGATATTTAAAAGCAATTTTATAATGGATTGCAGACTTCTCCATGCAGGTCTTTACCCCCCTCCCACTTGCAGTGGATTTGAAAGAGCCAGTCTGATAAAATGCATCAGCTGCCTTCCCCAGAAAGAGCCTGCAGCAGAGCCCAGCTCTGTCCCAGCTGGTTCAGCTCGATGCAGCCCTGTTCCCTGACACCCACCAAGACACAGAGAGAATGTTCTTTGTCTCTTGCACTAAAGGACTGATTTCAGGAGGCAGTAAGTGTCCTGCAAGAGTGGCTGTGTGTAACAGCTTCACTTGTCAGCAACTATTTTACTGCCAGCTAGACCAGGGGGGGAAAAGAAGTACAGACACCACCAGCAGTATCTTCCTTTGTTATCATCAATTGGATGAGATTTACACATCATTTAATTCAGAGCAGGGCAGAAAAAGCTCCTGCACTTAAACTTGTTTCCTGTTGTAAGGCCATCATCAAACACACAATGGCAGCAGAAAGAAATACCAGCTTTGAGAGCTATCTGCTCTGGTACTCTTCATTTTTTAAACTACATCTAGCAGCACAAGAGTTCTCATGAAAGCAACAGCAATAATGGGATATAAAATATGTATGAGTCTGAATGTGTTCTGTCACACATGGGCTCTGTACAGAGTGTTTCATGCTTGACAGCATGCTCTGATACAAGTAGACAGAACAACAGATGAGAAATCTACAGCTTAAAATCAAGATTATTTTGTTACTTTTTCCCTTTCACTGAGAGCAGAAATAAAAGTGCTAAAACATGTGCAAAAACCCTACCAACGAATTAATAAGAGAGGAGAAATGCAAAAAATTAGAGGTAAGCATAGTTCAAAACATCAAATCCCCCAATACTTCAGTGCTCCTACCTGATGTGTTGTATTAGCTGAGTGACTCAGCTTTGCAGAGATGCTGTGAGCTGACATTAAACTCTGTATTTGCTGCTTTAACAGTGTGACAATGGCCTCCAGCATTTCTAAATATCCAAGAACCTTTTTTTAATGTAATTACCTTGTGAAGTCAGTCATCTCCATCATAATCACACACATCCTCTTGGCGAGAACAATTATGTCATTGCTGGTATCATCCCAGATTTCAATCTCTGCATCAAGCTTACTCTTGACTTTTTTGAAGTCAGCCACTTGCTCAGCTATCTTTTCTTTTTCAGCTTCTGGCAATTGAGTCATCTTGGCCTAAAACAGAATCATTTGATTTGTAAAACATCTATGTCAGAGTATTTGAATTTTTAAACAAAACCACTGCACGTTAATAAATACACAGTTTAAACACACTATGGCCTGAGCCAACTGCTTGAGTTTGAGCACTTCTAAATTTCAGAATTTGTATGTTGTCACTGGGTGGGGCCAAATAAATAACCCCAGTGTAATAGGGGAAGTGATGTTCCTGAAATCATTCATTTTAACAGCAAGAGAGAGATTATTAAATTCTTCCAAACAGTCTTGATGAAATATGACTGAAAAATTTTCCTGTTTCCTATGGCTAAGGAGCAGTTTTAGGTATGATACACATAAAAGTTACAAAATGCAGTATTTATTCAGGTACCAAATAGTCAGTGAAAAGGGTTAATTGTCCTGAAACACTCAGGTATGCATCTTCTCTCTTCTGAGAAGGTTCTATATTATCATTCTAGGAACTAAAAAATATTTATTGTTCAAATATGCATCTTCTGCCTTTGCAGAAGGCAAACAGGAGACAGAAATCAGGATGTGCATAAGATTACCAAAAGCCCCTACAAATGTAGCACGGTCAGAGAAATGTTTTTGGTTAACACTCTCCATGAGCAAGATGACCAGCCTGCTGCAGCACAGGTCAGACTCCCCTCCTGTGCCAGAACCAGGCCAGGGAGCAGCCAGGGGCTGGGACATTACACAGCCACATGAAGATCCTGGCCCTTCATCATCCTCCCACCCCAGAGAGAGGAGCCACGCTGGTCCTGATGGCTCTGCTGCCATGCTGCTCATCTCACACCTTCCCTTCGGGCTGCCAGGAACCCACAACGGCACACAGCAACTATTAACGCACTGTCATTACTCCATAATTACACAATAAATATTTTGTGACTTATTCTTGTTTAGAAAACATCGTCTACCACCAGTAAAATGGAAAGTTAAGGCCACAGCTGAATTGCTTCTAATTAATAAAATGGGCAATCAGTTCCATACATAATGTGTATGTGTTTTCAGAGATTTTATTTATGCTTGAAGCACTGTCACAGGGTTAGCTTTCTCACTTAGACAAATTACTGAAAATTACAGGTTTCCCAGCATGTACCTGTAATTGCAGTCACACACAGAATCACAGAATGGTTAAGGGTGGAAGGAACCATCTGACAGTGGTCAGAATTACCCTGCAGCCACAGAACTAGAAAGTACAACTATTTGCAGGCTATTTCTCCCATGTTGTTAAAAAACCCCAAAATGCCCTAGAGAGAGAAGAGAACTTTTATGATCTCATACATGTTTGCTGATGGGTGGATGTCTGTGGTATTTCCTAGCCTCCAGCTTCAACACTGTTTTGAGTTCAAGATCACAGGCCTGGATCTCAAAACCACAAGAAAGATGGCATTTTAATGAGGGAACTGTGACATACAGCATCCTGCTATCTGCCAACAATAATGAGCTTCAGGTGGAAGAGACATTATCCACTGGAACACAGGGCAAAGGAAATTATAATTCTGACCTTGTCTTGTCTCTCCTTTCCCTCATACTGGTTTAAAATCATGACCAATAAAGAAAGCAAGTGTATACAGAGCCTTTTAAGCATAGATTTAACTTTGTATCAAAATAACACAACAGTAATTGTGAAATAAAGATCTAAATTGAATGACTATTACATGAGTGCAGGTTCATTCTGTCAAGCAAGAAAAAATTATTTTTTCACTACTTCTAAGACAAAATGCTGTTATTACAGTAGCAGGTAACAGATTTAGGACTAGGTGAGAGGAGAAGTTATATCTGTGATATTTCCTTCCTTCTATTATTAAAAAAGTAAGGATTTTTTTTCTTAAATTTCCCTGACTTAACTTTTCTGAAGGCTGTTTCTCCCTGGTAGCTTGAGTCTCCAACACTGCAGTTTGCATCATTGGAGTTGCCACATTTGCCACCTGACTGACCCTGTGAGACTGGTGTTTCCTTTCAAACCTTTCCATGTTTCAGTCAGTTCTGGTGTTTCCTTTCATACCTTTCCATGTTTCAGT